TTCGCTTTCACGCGCGATTCTATGTATGAATGAGTTCAGCGAGTGCACTTTTTTGACAAAATTGCATTTTGCTAAGAAAATTTATATTAAAGTACAAAAAACAATTAATGACGTTAAATAGTCAATAAAATCTAATCTCAATAAACTGATATATAATAATATATACATTCTTCAACAAAAATTACGGGAATTTATTAACTTCCCGTAGGGTAAGTTATCGTAATGGGCCGAAAATCGGAATTGAAAATTTTTACATTTCTCGACGTTTTGAAGGTTTCTGAACATTTTGGCATACCTCAGAAAAAATGAATGTGTGTGTGTGTGTGTGAGTGTATGGATACAAATTTTCACTCACGTTTTCGGGCGCACAGATCAACCGATTTGAATGGTTCAAAAAACATTCGATTCCTATTGATAGGGAAAAGAGCTGATTAGTTTTTGGCAAAGGCAGGTCTAGCCGTTTCGGGGATACGGAGAAAAGAGTGCAGAAAATAGAAATCGAATTTTTGAGAGAACGTAGTATCCGATTTGAATGATCTAAAAAACATTCAATTAGTAATGATTGGGAGAAGTGTTTAATAGTTTTTGGCAAAGGCAGGTCCTGCCATTTCGAAAATACGGAGCTAAATATGTAAAAAATGGCAGTTTTTGAGAGAACTAAGCGTCCGATTTAAATGATTCAAAGAACTTTCTGCTTGTCCTAACAAAATAATTGATTTTGGAAAAAAAAAATTTCAACTTTTTTTTTTTTTAATTTTTTGTATATCGAAAATATTCCAGATTTTATTTTTAATTCTGACTATAGTTCTAATATACTTTACAAATAATTTCAACTCTGCAATTCAGTTTATATAATTCTTATAAATATTAGACAATGTTACAATATTTATAATAATCTATTTGAAAACATTCACTATTCCTCGAACATTTCGTTACGGTACGAGAAGTTCCAGCAATTTGCCTTAAGGCACGATGCCATAATTGCCTCAAGACAGAATTCCACCCACAGCTAGTTTACGATTTTATTTACGAATCAGTGAGGTGCACATTTATGGCATATATATATATATATATATATATATATATATATATATATATATATATATACATTTATCGTCTTTATTATCTTTTATCAGGTTTAGTGGAAAATATCGTCACCCGCGGCGGAAGATGTCTGATACCAGTTTTTGCATTAGGACGTGCCCAAGAATTATTGCTAATTCTGGACGAATATTGGTCAAATCATCCAGATCTTCATGATGTACCAATTTACTATGCTTCATCCTTAGCAAAAAAATGTATGGCTGTTTATCAAACATACATAAATGCTATGAACGATAGGATTCGAAGACAGATTGCTGTTAACAATCCTTTTGTATTTAAACACATCAGCAATCTTAAGGTAATAAAAGATACATGATATATATATATGTATATATATATATATATATATATATATATATGTATATATATTTTGTAGAGTTTCGAACAAGAATCCAAAAATAATACAAAATAAAAAACAAGAAAAGTTTTTAAAAAAAACAATTTCTTTATTTAATTATTTGTTTATTGTCGACGTTTCGGAACTAGGTACGTTCCATCTTCAATATATTGGACAAACCTCCCAATATGTACACAAGAGAATGAGACAACATGAACTAAGTGTGGTCCACCATAAACAAAAAAATTTCAAAAGTACCCTAGTACAACACTCTATAGAAAACGCCCATTCATTTAATTTCACTCCAAAGATTTTATATCACGAAAGTTGCATCTTTAGAAGGTTATTCGCGGAGAGTTGTCTCATCCTCATAAACGTTTCTAACAGTGTCAACATTAGATCAGATCACAACCTATTACATGATTCATATTTAAATTTTTTACACTTTTTGACAAACAATTAATATCGACTTCCTTTTAAGATCAACAATTTAAGTATTCACACCCTGACATATAAAAACACACACATACAATCTCACATCTCTCGTTCAAGTGTTTACACGTGTTACAAAGGGCACACCAGTTTCATTTAGTTAATTTTCGTAAACCAATCGAACAACATCCAGAGAACAATATTATTTGTGTTTTCAAATAATAATTTTAAAAAAGACAAAGTTTTTTAGTAATTTTGATTTACAAAATCTAATTATTCGGCGGAAAATTAACTCACAAAATCATTTTTGTTAAAAAAGCTTGTTTAGTGAAAAAGTGCTAACAAATATTCAAACATACAGGTAATTAATTCAACTTTGTCATTAACCTTTTCTTAAAAAAATTCCATAACTTTCAAAAAAAATTTCTATTATGTTTAATATCCTGTTTTGATAATCCACTCATTTATTTTTATCATTTTTATTTTGAACATATTATCATATTTCTGTACATTATTATATTTTTTACAATTTAATTCATTATTTAAGAAAAATCTATTTTCTTTTCCTAAACATATTGTTTGCAAAAATCTCATCAAGATCATGTTTCTTGACAGATGTCCTGAAGATGGAACGTACCTAGTTCCGAAACGTCGACAATAAACAAATAATTAAATAAAGAAATTGTTTTTTTTAAAAACTTTTCTTGTTTTTTATTTTGTATTATTTTTGGATTCTTGTTCGAAACTCTACAAAATATACACAAATCCAAGACTCTACCATTCAATATGTATATATATGTATATATATAATATATATGATAAAGTTTTTCAGCCACAAGTCGAAAAAATAAAACCAGAACGTAAATATAAATCTTTTTAATTTTTTTAAAAATAAAACCAGAACGTAAATATAAATCTTTTTAATATTTTTAAATTTTTCTGTCTTTATTTTTTCGACTTGTGGCTGAAAAACTTTATTATATAATGTTTCAAAGTCGAAATAAACAATATCAAGATATATAATATATATAATTAATATACTGTGGTACCTCGATGTACAAGTGTTTTGAGATACGAGCGATTTTTTTTTCCTCGACATACGAACAGAATTCGAAAGAATGCCTTTGAGCGCGTAAGAGTTTACTAAGAAAAATATTAGTGTCAAAATGAAAATATGAAAATTTTTGTGGGTTGTAACAATGATTTTTTGACATAGTAGTGTTTTGGATGTTTTATGATAGTAAATTATTTTATATTATAGTTTATATTCTAATATTAATTGTGTAGTAACGATTTACCCACGGTTACACAATAGAAATATAATATCCACCCTGAAAGTTCATTAATAGAAAATCTTGCGTAAAATTCCTATTTTTTTGCTAGACTTTTTGTTTGATTGAAAATTTTATTGTCTATTTAACGTCATTAATTGTTTTTTATACATTCTTATAAATTTTCTTCGCAAAATGCATTTTTGTCATGAAAGTGCACTCGCTGAACTCATTCATACATAGAATCATGCGTGAAAATGCAAATCTGCATCTTGTAGCCTAAAATCATCGTAAATTTTGTTAAAGAATGTATATATTATTATATATCAGTTTATTCAAAATTTTATTCTCTATTTAACGTCATTATTAATTTTTTATACTTCCATATAAAATTTTGTGCAAAATACAGTTTTGTCATAAAAGTGCACTCGCATCTTGAAAGCTAAATCTGCATCTTGCAAGCTAAAATTTTCGTAAACTTTGTTAAAGAATGTATTTATTATATATAAGTTTATTGGAAATTGTATTGTCTATCTAATTCTGTTACTAGTTTATTAAGTTTTCTTGTAATGTTTTCTGAAAAAAATTATTTTTAGTAGAAAAATTGCTGCGATATACGAGCGTAGTTACGGAACGAATTATACTCTTATGTCGGGGTACCACTGTATATATATATATATATATATATATATATACATATAATTTTTTTTTCAGGGTATAGATCATTTTGAAGACGTAGGTCCATGTGTAGTAATGGCTTCACCAGGTATGATGCAATCAGGTTTATCTAGAGAACTTTTCGAATATTGGTGCACGGATTCAAAAAATGGTGTCATCATAGCAGGTAAGATAACAATATTTTTTTTTAATTTTTAAAATAACACCTACTTATATGAACACATATTTTACATTACCTGGGATTTAATTTTATTATATAAAATTTATATAAAATATTCAAAAACACATCGGTGTTTGGAAAATATTTTCAGCAGACTGTCAATATACAAATTATAATTTTATATAAATTTTATATTTTATTAAATTTTATATTTGGAATAAACATTTATAATTAAAATTACCATACAGTAAAATTATAATAACAACAATAATAATAATAATAATAATTTACAAATTTATAAGATCATTTAGAATTTTTCGTTTTAGTCTTGTTTTTATTATAATTATTATTATTATTACTATTATTATTTTTATTATTATTATTATTATTATCTTACTATTTCTATTATTGTTATTTTGTTATATTTTATTATTTTTCTAGTATTATTTTATTATTCTGAAATTTTATTTATATTATTTATTAATCTTATTTTTTATTATTGTTTGCTTCTATTTTACATTAAATCATATTACGGATATTATTTTCATGTAAATTTTATCCTTTGCTCTTTTATTTATTTAAATTTATATTATTATTTATCAATATTACTTGGTGTTAATAAATTAGCAGTTGTAATAATTATTGAAATTAAAAAAAAAAAAAAAAAATACAGTAAAACTAAACATTTATAATTTTATACTTTCGATATAAAACGAAGGACATATTTATAAATGAAAAATGTTAAAAATGGTTTTATGAGAAAAAAGGAACCAAGTAAATTGTATCCCGACTTACGTTCCATTTTGCCAAAAATGCTTAGTTAAGCCTATTAGAAAAATCTTTCGAAAACATTTAAAATGCCTAATTAGCAAAACTTGCAAGTGTTAGTAAATTCTGAAGTGGAAACTAAACTTAATCTATTTTTCATCACGTGTAATCTTTCATTTGATAGAATATACTAGAACTTTACTAATGTCCAATGTACTATTAAATTATTTATTACTTATTATATTTCCAGGTTATTGCGTCGAAGGCACTTTAGCAAAAACAATCCTATCAGAACCTGATGAAATCACGAGTATGTCTGGACAAAAACTACCCTTATCGTTATCAGTAGACTATATATCATTTTCTGCACATACTGATTATCAACAAACCAGCGAATTTATTCGGTTGCTTAAACCAGCACACGTGGTAAGTAGAAATAAATAAAAAAATAAATAAATTTATATATAAATTAGTGTGGTCCTTAATATGGACATTTTTAAATTTCTTTGCTTCGAAGGACTTCTATGATTCCAAATTGATAAAAAACAATTCTCTGAAAGTTTTAGCTCTTAATATTGTCTTTTAGATAGTGAACAATTCAATCAAAGTTTTGTATGGAAATAGCATGAAAAAAATTTCAAAAATTTTGCAGAGCGTCGAATTTTCAATAAAAAATGACACGAATTTTCACTTTTAATTCATTTGTCGCTAAGTTATACCTGATTTTTTTTTTAGTTTTCAAAGTTTTTTCCATGCTATTTCCATACAAAACTTTGATTTCAGAGAATTGTTTTTTATCAATTTGGAACCATTTGAGTCCTTGGGAGCGGGAAAATTCGAAAATGTCCATATTAAGGACCACCCTAATGTGTGTATATATATATATATATATATATATATATATATATATATATATATATATATAATTTATTTATTTTTCTAGGTGTTAGTCCATGGTGAACAAAACGAAATGAGTCGTTTAAAATCAGCTTTACAAAGAGAGTATGAAAATGCTCCTCAGGGACAACAATTGACTTTACACAATCCGAGGAACACACATGCGGTCGAGTTGTATTTTAGAGGAGAAAAAACAGCTAAAGTAATAATATATATACATATACTCATATACATATATATATATATATACTAGCAAACCCGACGAACTCCGTTTCGCCGCCAGATGGTTTCGTGAGAAAGATAAAGAAATTTTTTGTTTGTTTTATATTTGAAAAGGAAAAATTTGATCAGGAAAGAAAACCCGACTTATTTTTATATATATAGAAGATAATCTATTTGAAATTATTTAAAACAGTTATTGATTATTTTTATTACTCGATTTTTTAATTACGGTGCGTGAAGTTCCAGCAGCTTGCATTAAGGCACGATGCCATGCACAACTAATTTTCTTAGCTATAAACCTTGCGGAGCCCGAGACCTTTCCAACGAATGCAAAATTGTCGAAATCGGTTCGTGCGTTCTGGAGTTATTTCGTCAGGAAGGAAAACCCGACTTATTTTTATATATATAGAAGATAATCTATTTGAAATTATTTAAAGCATTTATTGATTATTTTTGTTACTCGAATTTTTAATTACGGTGCATGAAGTTCCAGCAATTTGCATTAGGGCACGATGCCATGCACCCCTAATTTTCTTAGCTATAAACCTTGCTTCCCTCGTGCGTTCTGGAGTTATTTCATCAGGAAGGAAAACCCGACTTATTTTTATATATATAGAAGATATATATATATATATATATATATATATATATATATACGTGTATATATATATACATGTGTATATATATATACACGTATATATATATATATATATATATATATATATATATATTATAATATTTATTAAAATTATTACTTCCAGGTTATGGGATCTTTAGCCGTAGACAGACCGATAGCTGGTCACAGATTATCAGGTGTCATTGTTAAACGAGATTTTAAATACCATGTACTTGCTGCCAGTGATTTAGGTAAATAATTTAATTATATATATATATATATATATATATATATGTATATATACAGTGGTATACCCCGACATACGAGCTTATTTCGTTAATTTTTTTCCATATAAATGCATTAAAATGCCAATAATTCGTTTCAACACTTATAGGGTTTGTTGAGTATTAAAATTAAATTCACAATTTTAAACTTGGCTGGTTTCTAATTACTCGTTTGTTGTCTCTAATGATACTATCTACACTTACACTTACTTGACATGTAAATAAAAATAGTTATTTTTATTTAAAAAAAACTCTGTATCTGATAATTTCATGATTATTTTAGACCGCCGACTGGCATTTTTTTTATTGAATCTCCAAAACTACTGGACCGATCTTTTCAAAAATCTAGTCAATTCTTTATTATGTCAATACAAGTGTCTCTACAATATTCATCTCTATATGTCACTATTTGTCTCTCCTACTTACAAACGTATATTATTCTTTTGTTATTCTATACATATATCATGCTATTTATGTCAACAAAATTCATTAATTTGATTATTCTTATATTTTTCATTATAAATTTTAATTATAATGATACAAATTAATATTTTTTAACAGAATTTACGAGAATTTTAGCATAAAAAATGTGGATTAGTATTGTGATTATTATTGAGTTTGCGTGCGCACTTTTATGACCAAATTATATTTTGCAAAAAAAAAATTTGTATGAAAGTTTAAAAAATAATTAATATCGTTAAAGAGACAATATAATTTACTATAAACTGATACATAATTATATGCACATCATTTAACATAATTTTGCATAAAATTATAATATAAAATTATAAATATATAATATATATATAATATAAATATATAATATAAAATTATATTGCATTTTACGCACGGTTATATTTATGAATGAGTTCAGCGCGTGTAACAACTATCTTAACAAAATTAGATTTTGCGGAAATTTTTTTTACGAAAACCTAATAAATCCGTGAAGGAAGTATATAGACGATAAAATTTGCAATAAACTGATATATAATAATATATACATTCTTTAACAAAATTTATGAGAATTTTAGCATAAAATGTCGATAAATATTTCACGCACGATTGTAATTATCATTGAGTTCGCACGCGCACTTTTTTGACAAAATTCGATTTTACAGAAAAAAATTCATAAAAACCAGTGATGGGATTTAATAAACAATAAAATTTACAATAAACTGATATAATAATATTACATATTATTATATATCATACATTAATATAATACATTCTTTGTCAAAATTTACGAGAATTTGAGCATTAAAAGTGTGGATAAGCATTTCCACTGGTTTTACGCACTTTTACGACAAAAATGCATTTTGCAGAAATAAATTATATAGAAGTATAAAAAACAAATAATGACGTTAATTAGATAATAAAATCACCAATAAACTGATATATAATAATATATACATTCTTTAAGAAAATTCACGGGAATTTTAGCATAAAAAGTGTGGACAAGAATTTAATAATTTTACGCGTGATTCTATGTATGAATGGGTTCAGCGAGTACACTTTTATGACAAAACTGCATTTCGCATAGAAAATTTATATGAAAGTATAGAAAACAATTAATGGCGTTAAATAGACAATAAAATCACCAATAAACTGATATATAATAATATATACATTCTTTAATAAAATTTACGAAAATTTTAGCAGATTTGCATTTAATTCGATTTGAAGCATGATTCTGAGTTCAGCGAGTGCACTTTTATGATAAAACTGCATTATGCAAAGAAAATTTATATGAAAGTATAAAAAACAATTAATGGCGTTGAATAGACAATACAATTCTCAATAAACTGATATATAACAATACATGCATTCTTTAAGAAAATTAACGAGAATTTTAGCATAAAATTTGTGAACAAGTATGTAATAATTTTACGCACGGCTCTATTTGGAAATTTATTTTCTATTAGAGTTTAGCGATTTATGTACGATTTTTTTTATTTTTTAGGTAAATACACAGACATGTCCATGTCCTTAGTAACCCAAAGACAATCTTTACATTGGACAGGAAGTGTTCCGCATTTAATGGCACTTTTGGCAAGATTTGGCAAAGTCGAACACATCGAAGGAGATAAACATTTGAAATTATTTGATTGCATTGATCTCACATTCGAAGGTAAAACCATAAAATAAAATACAAACATACCAAACTATTTTTTGCATTATTATATCATTTTTATCTATTATTTTTTTAGGTAAATGTGCAATTCTAGAATGGCAAGCCACACCAGTAAGTGATATGTATGCAGATTCAGTGATTGCTTCTATGTTGCAAATCGAAATGATTCCAAATTCTTCCACAATGCCTGTTACACCTGTGCCGAAGGCTGATAAAATGCATTATAAGGAATGTTTGATCGAAACATTACAGGTAGTAAAAAAAAATTATTTAAAATATTTTAATAAATATATATGTATATATTTTATATTTTTTTAGGACATGTTTGGTGTGGATTCGGTGCCAAAATTATTCAAAGGTGATATTTTAAATGTTACTGTTGGCAAAAGCGAAGCTGAAGTGGATTTACAAAATTTGGTACGAAAAATTATTTTGTATATATATATATATATATATATATATATATATATATATATTTATATTACTATTTTTATTTAGGTTGTTACGTCGAAAGATGAAACTTTGCAAAGGATGGTTCAAACTGCAGTAACAAAATTACATGAAGCCATCATGCCCATACATTAAAAAATTCAAAATATTTATTTAATTAAATTTTAATTTTAATTTTAGTATTGTATTATAAATACCTACAAATAAGGAATGTGTATTATTTTGTACATTAATAGAAAATAAATACGATTTTTGTATAAATTTTCTTTCAATAAAAATGCAATTTAATAATAAATTTAAAATCAAGTAATAAATACAATAAATTTAATTTAAAAAAATATAATTCTTTTAAATAATTTAATTAATTTTATAACAATTGAAATTGAAGAAACAAATTTTGTTTTATTATTTTTTGCTACGAAAATCTATTTATTTTAAATAAAATTGTCGATAAATATAAGAAAATATACAAATTTAGTCCATTTTTTTATATTTTTTTTTTAAATTGCAACAAATGTAGTTAAATGTCTAAGACATGTTTGAAAAATATGAAAAATAATTTGGATTATAAAATGAAAATAATAAATGATGATTTTTTAAATTTAATTTATATGTTTTATTTATTTTAATTTAAAATTATTTATTTAAATTACTTATTTAGAAGAGAAGTTTAAAATAACGATTGATGATTTTATTTATTACATTATTATATATTAATTTCACTTATTTTTAATTAAAATTATTTATCCAAAAAATTATCTAGATAAGAAGTTTAAAATAAAAATATTTAATTTATATATTTATTTTTATTCAAAAATATTTAAATGATAAATTAATAAGAAAAGTTTAAAATAAGAAATAATTTATTTTTATTTAAAATTATTTATTTAAGTAATTTATTTAGAAGATCAATTTAAAATAACTAATAACAATTTTATTTATTTAATTTATATATTAATTATTATTCAAAAATATTTATTTAATTTAATCATTAAGAAGAGAAGTTTAAAATAACGAATAATAATTTTGTTTTTATTTAATTTCACGAATAATGATTTTTTTAATGTCATCTGTACTAAAAAAATATTTTATCCTCATTTTTACATATAATTATTTAAATACAATTTTTTTTATTTAATATTAAATTAATATTGTTAATATAAGATAGTGTTTTTTTTATTTTGTCAAAATGTCAATTTATAATAAATTTGCAATTTAAACAGTGCATGTATAGCAATTTTATAAAATAAATTGGAAATTTTTCAAAATTTTGCATTGTGAAAATTAGAAAAGAAATTAGAAGTCGAAATGGCTGAAGGAGCTTCTGAAGATGTTTTGAGTAAGAAAAAATATTTGAATATATATTATTTGTTTCAAAATTTGCTAAATAATATAATTTTTAATAACGAGATTTTTTTTAAACTTAATTTTATATAAAGTCGCCGATTGCCTTGAATACATTGTTTCAAAATCGTTAAAAATATAATTAAACAAAAATGTAGATTTCTTGTTTAATTTTTTTTTAAATTTTTGTTAATAAAATTTGAGAAATTTATAATATTGTAAATATATTAATAAAAACTTTATACGTTTTACTAATTTTATATAAATTCGTTAAATTTGGATAATAATTTTTTTTATTAAAAATTGATATTAAAAATCTCAAAAAAAAATTAAATCCACTAAATGTTAACTTCGAGCAAATTTTTCTATTTTTCCTCAAAATTTTGTTCGATTTACAATAATTCTTTTTTAAAAAATTCAAAGTTTTTGCAAGTTTGTCAAATGTTGCCACTGGATTAGTTGTTTTGAAAAAAAATTATATATATATATATATATATATATATATTATGTATATTTATTTATTTAGATGATTATTTGAAAAGACTGTACGAAGCTGATGATGAACACGATGGTGAAGAAGAATTTGATTATGAAGAAGAACAGGTTACTTTCTTTATTATTATAAACAAAATTCATTCACAACATATATAAAATATTAAGATTAAAATATAGGAAATTTAATCTAGTTTTTACTTTACAAACATAATTTTTCTCTATCTTGTCTCTGGAATGAGATATTTAAATCCAAACAAAACGGAAAAATTGCGTGTTCTTGATATTAAAGAGACAAAAAACTGGTTCGATTTGCATTTTTATTTTTTAACTTTGATTTTAGACATTATTAAAGAAAATTATATTATCTAATTCATAGTAAAGGTAATGTAATTATTATTTCCTTAGCATAAACTGCTTTGCAAAAAAAAATATGTTAGTACAACTAAAAACTATAAAGAAAACGTCTACAATTTTTGCACTTGAACTTCGTAGACTTCCACATTTTTATAGCACAAAAAATCTAAAATAATTTAAAAAAATAGCTAATTTTATAAATCTAATTTTATCAATTTTTAGAGTATTTTCGAAGAATATTATACACCAGAGGCGTTCGTCCCTCTGCAAAAACAGACCGAATATTATTCGGACGAAGAATCGATCTATTCTTCGACTTTGGAATCGGACAGGAGCAGCGAACAGCGCACGCCACTGGATTTTACAGACTCCGAAGGTATAATAAAAATAATAAATTAAATATATATATATATATATATATATATATAATATTAATTTATTATTTTATATTTTTAGGTAGACACATGTGTTTGGGAACACTTGCAATTTCTAATAGTGATTTTTTGTATCATCCTTTGAGGAATTTTCCCCTGATTACTGATCCTGGAATTGATACTTTATTTGAGAAAGGTGAGGACTAAAAATTAAAAAAAAAAAATAGAACTTTATCTTGGGTTTGGTATAACAAAATCCTTAAGAAAGTAAGTCCACAATAAGAAGGTAAATGCAAATTTTTCGTCTATTTATCTATCAAAATTGTTTGATTTGTATTTGTTTATTTTTTAGCTTTACCTTAGTCATATATATTTTATAAGTTACTTTTACAATTTTATTTTATTTGATATATATATATATTCTCTTTTTGTAAAAAAAATGGATGTATTTTTATCTAATGTAGAACAGTAATAAGTTGATATTTATTTTTTTTTCTTAATCTTACTTAACCATAATTTCTTACGATTTTTTTCCATTTTAAAACACTCTTGGACCAATACAAAATGTTTTACCAAAATTAAACTAACCGTTCAAGAAGAGTTTAAGAAAAATTATATATAAAAGGTCTGAAGAAAATTTTTTACCCTTTTTTTTCTGAAAGTACAAAGAATATTTTTATTTTTTTTAAAGTAAAATCCTTCAGGTTAATTAATTTAATTCCACTATAAATTAGATAATATATTTTTTTTAACAACGTCTCAAAATAATCTAATAAAATAAGAATACATATATATATATAAGCGAGAGGTTTTTCTTCAGATGGTGAAATAATATGATAAAAATTGTTTCTTGGGCATCCATCCAATAATTAAAAAAACAGTTTTAATGCAAAATGTTTTAATTAAGAGAACATACGTTTCGGGTCCAGATTTGACCCATCTTCAGTGCTTATTTGTATGGAGAGCACTATTTACATATACAGCATTGAAATTATAGTTATTTTGAAAATTCATGTTGTTAAAAATTAAAAAACACTTGTAAAAGTTCTTGAAAAATCTTGGATTTGTAACTTCCGTGTAGTAATGGTTCTGAGTGTCCTAACAAAAAAGTCTTGAATGTAGGCTTGCAAAAAATCTTGAGGAAATTTGTTAGGTCTTGAAACTTGCAGAATATTTGAAAAACAGTGTCTTGAGAAGACAAAAAATCTTGATTATTTTAAGTTGAAATTGTCCAATTTTTCAGCCCTTGGATTATATAAGCGAGAGGTTTTTCTTCAGATGGTGAAATAATATGATAAAAATTGTTTCTTGGGCATCCATCCAATAATTAAAAAAACAGTTTTAATGCAAAATGTTTTAATTAAGAGAACATACGTTTCGGGTCCAGATTTGACCCATCTTCAGTGCATACAAATAAATTTTAAAAAAATATAACACAAAGAACAACACAAAAATGCAACGAAAAAATAAGTATGAAATAAAAAATTGAAAAAACATCAAGTTATGAAAATTTTGAAAATTGTAAAAATTAAAATAAATAATATGTTTTATTGTAAAAAAGCTTATTCCAAAAACACATCTTGTTCGTTTGGAGACAGAGTTACGTGTCGACACTATAAAATTATCTATAGATTGGTATATATATATATATTTTCTAAAATTTTCTTAATAAATCATACAAGCTTGTAAAAGCTAAAGATTGCAAATTAAGTTTTACTATCTCTACGCGAAATATATATAATCGGGACTTTTTATCTAATGTTGAACGTTAATGTGTTTTCTCTTAATCTTATATTATTAATAGAAATTATAGCTAAAATTTCTTATCATTTTTTTTCATTTTAAAATACTCTTGAACCGATACAAAATGTTTCATCAAAATTGAACTAACCTTTCAAAAAGAGTTCAAGAAAAATTATATATAACATATATAAAAGATCCGCCGGATAACTTTTTTTGCTATAAAAAAACTACTGAATATTTTCTCAAAATTCTTTTTTTATTTGAAAGTACAAACCTTCAAGTTAATAATAAAAAATAATTTGATCCAAATGACTACCTCGGATGGCCACAAAAAATTAAAGAAAACAATAGTTAGATGGTGGATGCTTTACTTTACACATTTTATTATAATTTTTTTAAATATTATTATTTTTTTCCCAGTCGAAACAAAAGCCTTCGACTTCGCCGGAATTACCCAATACTTCGAAAAATGTGCAGAATTCAAAATAACACCAATTGGTGCCATGAAGGAAGCCCTTTTACAAGACACTGTCAACCTGAGGGTAAAAACCGCCAACAACCCCAAAAAACTCAATAAATATTTAATTTTTTTATTTTTTAGTACTACGGTCTGTCTCCTTTATCCTTAAGGGCCCTATGTCCGTCCCTGACTTTAAATCCTCACGTAATTCGATTGGATTTAACAGACACAATCCTTACAAAGGACTCTTGCGCCCAATTGGGAGAAGTCCTGAGCGAAAATGTGGTAATCAAGGAGGTTAACTTGACTGATTGCAGGTAAAATGCGATTTTAGGGTATACCGAGTTGCTGTAGAGCCTTATTAT